ACTCATACAAGCTAATATGAAGGTAGCTCAATCCCGGCTGTAAAAGCTATGTTGATAAGAGGAGGCGACCTCTAGAATTCATAGTGGGAGATCATGTCTACCTCAAGGTTTCGCTTAATGAAAGGAGTTCATCGCTTTTGGGATTCGGGAAAGTTGGCGCCCGTTATGTCGGTCCTTTTCAAATCCAACAACGATGTGGACCATCGCCTATCGTGTCAAGCTACCGGAGATCACATGTCGGTAAAGGCATGATATCTTTCATGTATCCCAATTGAAAAAGTGTCTTCAAGTACCGACCAAGTAATCGACATTGGTGATGTAGAACTAGCCCCTGATTTGACTTATGCCGAAAATTTATTAGAATCTTAGATCGGAAAGATCGAGTCACTCAAGGCGCATAATCAAGTTCTACAAAGTACAATGGAACCAAAGACAATCAAGAAGAAGCTACTTGGGAGTCCGAGGATTTCTTAGAAGAAAATTTTCCGACTTCTTCGCTTCTATCTAGTTACAATACCTTGTCTATATTGTAACCTGTCTTGTTGTTAATGACTAGAAAACCCCCTCACTAGCCTTTTGAGTAAAGTTGTGATGTGTTAGCTTGACACATTTCCTTTTCCATTACTTAGCCTTAAGTTTTAAATCTCGGGATGAGATTTCTTTAAGGGGGAAGGGTTGTAACACCTCTGGTGTTTTGACCTAATACTAAAATTTGACATGTCATCATGTGCATTGCAAAGCATTCATATAGTATAAAGTTTTGAATGCATTCACTAAATAAGGTTTATTTCATAATGTTGTTATTTCATGTGATGTGTTTCAAAAACCTTAAACAAAGATCATGACCACAAGGGTCAAATTTCATGTGTTCATGTGAGGCCATGTGTCATCTGACTCAAATAACCCTAATTGGCCATGTTACTGGTCAAAAATCAAAATCTAAGTAAAAGGAAGACAAATCAAATTTGAATTCATTTTCAAATTATAAAAGTCCTTTTTGCCCCTTTTGACTAATTCAAAATCCATGAGGAATTTGGGGTTGAGGCAAAAAGCAAAGTTGGAGATTATTTTATGTAGATCAACTTTGGTATTCAAAGTTTTTCAAGATTACATATAAAATTTGGAGTAATTTTGAAATGATTCAAATCTTTAAATGTACCCCAAATTTGAATTTCGAAATGGAGGCAGAATTTGAAAATGTTTCTTAAACCAAAGTTGTAGTACTTGAAAAGTTGAGCAACTTTCATTTTTGGAGATTTTCAACTTCTTTAGAAAATTTGGGAGTAATTTGAATAATGGAAGCAATGGCGATTCAAATTATTTCAAAAAATCAACTCCACCTCACTGCTTGCCGCTGGCGCCACACGGAGGTCGCCGTCGATCGGGTTTCACCGCTTTCACGTGCAGTGACACGCCCAAACCTCCATGGCGAGTTCGCCCATGTGCTGTCATCACCGTGCGCCCTCCATCTTGCTATAAATAGGAGTACGCCGTCAAATCGATCGAATTTTCGCGTCGACCGCTGCTCGTCGCGGTGTCTTGCTCGCGCCAGCAATTCGTTCTCGACGTAGTGCCTAGGGCCAATTGCTTTGGCCGAAGCTCCGCCTCGTCTTCTTGCTTCTCCCAACCCCGATCGTGTTGCTCCTGGAAGTCCAGCGCCACCGCTGCGACGCGTCGTCTTCCCCGAGTCCCACGGAGCTCGCCATTCTCGGTTTCACGTGGTCCCGTCGATCCATCGTCTCTCTTCCTTCACCGAGTCTACCTACGTGATCACGGTGAGCTCCTGAATGTGAAGACCGTTTCACTTTAGTCCCTACTGCACCGTCACCATGGTTACACCGTTCACCGACGTGCTCAGCCGCCATGCCCGGCATGGAAGTGTCTCCTGTGCACCTTGTTCCTTCCTGATAGCTTGGTTCGGTTCGGGGAATGTAGTAGATCGTTTTGGTGAAGTCTGTTTCACCGGAGAGTCACCACCGGCGCGTTTTGTGGCCGGTCAGTGAGGGTAGCGCCGCCGTGGTTGCTTGAGTCATTGACAGTGGGGTCAGCCTGTCAGTGTGAGTGAGGAAGAAGAGCAGTGAAATTTTTTATTTTCTGAATTTGTGAATAGTACTAAATCTTTGGAAATTTGTAGAAAAATAATCATAGCTCCAAAAATTCTGAAAATTTTTGTGTAGCTTCTGTACATGTTCTAGTATGATTTAAAAATTTGAAATTTGAAATTTGGATAAATTTTTAATGTTCAAAAATTCAGTCAATTAATTAATAAATGCAATTTCCATGATTTTTGTAGGCCACTGTATAACTCCAAAAATTATGAAATTTATTTTGGTACACTAATTTATCATGAGGATGCTTGTGTAAATTTTTGAGATCATTTGGAGCAAGTTCATTTTGAGCTTAATTCTAAATTAATTCAAAAATAAATAAAGGTAAACCCTAAGTGTAGGTTTAGGGTTTGATCTTGATTTGGGTCATGTAGTGTGACTAGTAGGGTCCGAAGATCCATTTGGTCAAGTCACATGTATGGTTCTTAATGGTAGGATTTCAAGTTGGTTTTGTTGGCTTGCAACTGTACCGTGAAATAAAATCATTTGCGGGTGTTTTTACATTTCATGTACCGTGAAAGCATCATGTTTACATTATCATCATGTTAAAGCATATGTTATCATTTCGTGTAGAACCCGAGAACGAAACGCTTCTAGTTGAGCAAGTTCTGGAAGAATCCCCGGTTGTCGCGGGATTTGATAATTGTGGTACTAATCCGGAACCAGAAATCGTCATCGAAGGCAAGCCCCGGTTTATGCATTACACCATTACCTTGTTTACTTTGAAAAGTTTATCACTTATGTTACTTATCGCATTAAGTTGTTTATTCAAATGTTACCTACTTGCTGCATTGCCTACCTTGTTAATTGTTTACCATCCTTGAAGATGATTTCATTTACAATGGCGTAGAATTGCTTAGTATGCTTTATGGTAGGCTTTTCAAAGTAAAAGTTTCAATATAATCAAAGATGGCATACTGGCCAAAGAAAGAAAGAAGGAAGGTAGAATGAACTAGAGACTAGTTGGGTGGCTTATCTTGAATGTTGAGTAATGTTGCCGACTATGTCGCTTAAAGGCCACTCATTGTGGATCTTCTGAACGAGACACTTTGTAGTACTAGTCACATACTCCGGTAAGCCTACTTCGGCTAATCCAATACTAAGACGAATGCCCACGCACTGGGAGTGGTGAGATGGCGGGAGTAGCGTGTACCCTCGTGGCTTGAATGTGGTCGGATTTGAGGTGTGCTATGCTCTCGGGTGGCGTGGAGACGGCTTAGTACGGGAGGATCCGGTAGCGAGGTTGATATATGCAAGATTAAGTTCTACATATGTCGTGTGATAAGAAATCCCCAGCTGGGACTTGAATCAATTCGAATTGCCGGTGCTCCGCGGATATGGAGACTCGATTCATTATAGAAGCAATGTAGGACTGGTGAATTACTAAAACATGAGAAAAAGAATGGAATGAGAAGGATTGGAACATGGGAAACGAACACCTAGTTGGAAATATTGAACTAAAATACTTAGTGTTAAAACTTGAAACCAGGATCAAGAATAGTAAGCTTTTAGCAAAGAATTTTTGAATCTTTCTACATCCTTACCTTGACCCAACACCTGCATCCCTAAGACCTTCGCCCTTTTTGGTCGGGTCAGTCTTGTTGAGTACTTTTTGTACTCAGGGTTTGTTAACCCTTGTTGCAGGTGAGTCGCATGCGCAGGCTTGTTTTGGTCCCTGCTGCATGTCAGTGTATGAAGTCGATGACGATGAGGAATGATGAATGGCCTTTCGACAAGGCACTAGTTTGTGTGAAATAAATAATGTTAATGTAATATTATCTCGCTACTATGGTTGTATAACACTTATGGTTATGTAAGTTTGAAACAACTGGTTTGTAATATTAAACTTAAGTCTTCCGCTTTATTACCTCTGGTATGTATATTGAAAAATATTGTAATCTGCAATGACTGTGATTGGAATCCTGTTTGAAACGTGGATGATTCAGGTTTTCCGAGGACACCCGACAGACCTATTAAGTTGTTGGGAACTTGTGTACGCTATCTGAGGTCTGTTGAGACATCGATAGGTGCACGTGGGCCCGATTTCTTGGGAGGTTCTGCCATAATTGTTTAACTTGAGACACTCCTCACTTAGGGTTATAGTTGAGAGGGATTTTGGGGCTTTGAAGAACATGTTTCGTATTTTAGACAACAAGCCATTCCACCCTTACAAGACACATGTTAAGCTTATGCTAGCCTGTTGCATTCTTCACAACTAAATTCTAGGCTTTGGCATGGACCAAGTAGTGCCACCAGAGGACTGGTTGCCACCAAACCAGCTTGATTCTCAGCCTGTCCATGAGGTGTTGTCTTAATACTCTAATGTCATGTCCACTAGGAGGGATGTCATCTATACTGCAATGTGGGAGGGTAGGGGTACCTCTAGGACCTAATTCATGCATGTTTATTCTTGTATAACTTAGTTTGTTGACCCTGGTATGGAACATGTGGTTTGTGTACTTCTGTTGTAATAATTATTGGACAAGGCTGAGACTAATGAGCTTCAATACTGTATACTGTTCTTACCGTTATGGCTTTATGGATACTCTATTGCTGGTTATGGATTTTTTATCAAAGTTGTGACCATGAGAGACATCCATACTATGTTAATGTTTCATTGGTTAACTAAATAGGATGGCTTCAGCTCCTGTTGATGTGCTGCCTATTAAGGGTGGGTTTGTGGCTGCTGCTGAGGTCATGGCTGAGGTTGTTGGGGCTGAAGCAGCTCCTGCTACTGATGTTGCAGCTGCTGCAGCACTAGCTGCTGGGCCCATGAGGTGGAACAACAACACCTCTGGGTTTGTGCTTAGGAGGATGGCCTAGTTGCTTAGTGATGGCACTGGGCCCAAGTGTCTTAAGGACTACAGTGGGGATGCAGTGAGCCCAACTAAGATGTACAACCACTTGAGGAAGTGGAGGCAAAAGTGGTCTAGGATCTGTAAGTTAAAAGATCTTAGTGGAGTCTTGTGGGACAGTGATGTCAATGCAATCATGCTTGATGGGGAGCACTACCTAGGCTACTGCAAGGTAGAACACTTAAGTTGCTAACCATGCCACTATGTCTTACCTGTCTTACCTATCTTACCTCATCTGCAACTGTATCCCCTACTACAGGACCACCCTAAGGATGTAGAGTTCCTTAACTATCCTATAAGGTTCTACTCTGAGATGGAGGCCATATTTGGGCATTCTATGGCCATTGGTAGGTATGCACTTGGTTCTGGTGAGGCCCTTGGCGTCAACCAAGCTGATAGTGCAGTTGCTAAGGTTGAGGGCTCTGTCTTCCACTATGTCCCTGAGGAGAAGGCCAACACTGAGGTTGGTGAGGGCAGCAAGGCCACAGAGCTGCTACATTCTACTATGGGTGGGAAGAGGAAGAGAGGGAACTTCACTGGGGATGAGATGCTCTTGCTGACCAACATGTCTGATGCTGTCAACAATGTTGCCAATGCACTTAGGGAGACAGGTGCTGCACATGTGGATCCTGACCTCTATCTTGTAGTCATGGAGATGCAGGGCTTCACCACTGAAGCCCTCATTGTTGCCTACACCTACCTACTGGAAAACAAGGCCATTGCCACAGGCTTTGTAAAGATGGCAACTAGCCATAGGGACATTTGACTGAGGAACTACCTTGACAAGAACTACTATATGTAGTTCTGTCCAATTAGGACAACAAGGCAAATAGGGGGTTGACTGTTGAGATGTATAGTTCCTCCACCTCCCTCACCCACTCTCTTACCTTTTGTACACACCTAGGTGTAGCTTTTGTGCAGCTTAGTTGGCTGATTCACACCTGTCCTTTTGGGTTAGTGTAGTTGGAGGGTGGCTGACTATAGGTAACATTAAGCAAGATGGACCTTATTTGAGCCTACATGTGTGAGGCTATACTGATATCTGTAATGCACTATTAGTGGCCTCTATTGGCTGCTCTATTTGGTATTGTTCATGATTTCTTTTATTTCTGTTGGATTATATTCTTTTGGCTCCATTTACTACATCATCTATCACTGTTACCTTGTCTTTGGCCATGAAACTCAGCCATACAGTGGTAGCAGCATAGACGAATGATGCTGCTACTATTGCATGGCTGTGTCCCATGGCCAAAGTTTATGTCTGTTACTTATGACCTGTTGGTTTTGTTTCTTTTGATTGGTGGCAACTGTGGGAAATCTATAAGGCCTATGATGCAAACAACATATTCATGAGGTGGTTGCCTTGTTTAACTAGTTCTTCATGTTTTTCATCACTGCCATGGAACTCTATGTGTGCCCATCCATTCACCTATCAATAGCAACTTGTATCTTATGCTGATGTCAGTGAATGGATGTGCACAATAGGGTTCAATAGCAGTCATGACCCTAGATTTGCACCTGTTTGGTGCATGCGCTGTTTACTTGATTATTCTAATTTGTCATGTATGTCAACAAATCCATATAACACATCCATACCCTAGCAACAACCCCTTCTTTCTTGTGCTGATGGCAGTGTATGGATGTGCACATGGATTCCTTGGTAGCCATGAGCTTGGATTTGCTGCACTACTGGTTTTTATTTTCTATGGCAGCCACCAATGATTTGAACTGAAAGAACACCACCATATTCTAAAGCTGAGACTAGCCTTTTATTACAATGCATGTGATGTCAATTCTCTTACATATGAGCTTGATGATGCTGGTCATCAGTGGGGGACTTAAGATCAACGATTTGTTTCACCACAAATCGTAGATCTTCAAGTTCCACACTCATGGCTAGTTTCATGCTTTACATTTGATTGAGGCTAAACCACTGTTTAATTTCATAGAAATGGTAGCGTACTATGTTGTTTCCAATGGGAAGGCTCCTAGGATTTACCTGAGTTGGCAGGAGTGTAGTAAACATGTTCTTGGGGTGAGAAATGCTATATACAAGAAGTATAGCAACTATGATCAGGCTGTTAGAGATTTTCAGGCAGCCATGAGAGATGTCCATCCATCTCATGGAGCAGCACGTCCCCTCCCCTATGATCCTGTACCTCATGATGCTTTTGCTCCAATCATTCCTCCTTCTAATGGTAATGGTAAGGCTGGTTGGTGGAAGAAGGTGTTAATCATCTTACTTGTTATCTTGGTGGTTGGACTATGGATGAAGGGGGGCAAAACTGGCAGCTATGACTGCCCCACTTTGGCCTATGATGACTACAACTACATGATGGATGAGCTGCTGCTATGTCTTACTGATTTCTGTCTCCCATTTCTGTTACCTATCTCCTTTGTGTTGTTCAAGGACTGATGATTAATGATTAGGCTGCTGATGTTGTTTTTTGCCTTGCTTCATTGGTACTTTTGTAAACTTAGAGCAGCTATGACTCCATGCTTATTTACCTAATTAGTCTGAGGCCTATTGGTTATGTGATGTTGCATTACTCTTATCTATCTCATATCTGTTGATTTCTATTGGCTGCTCTCAATGGTTGCTAGCCTGGCTAGGGATCACACAAGATTTGGGAATGGCAGTTGGTGGTAGTTGTCCTTAGGCCTGGCTTCCAACTATGGAATCAAACACAATCTTCTTTGGCCCTGGTCAGTTTGGTATAGGCCACCAAACAAGGGGCCTTGCACCGTGTCAGCTAGGCTGTGGCTGGTCTGGGCCTAGCCTATGGGCCTGGCTGCCTTTAGGTCACCTACGAAACATGCCCTGAGAGTCCCATACAGTCCCACATGGGCCGCTCCTTGTTCACTGGCGGGCCATTTTATGTTGGGGACCCTCGTCAAAGTGCTGCACTGCTGCTGCTGAGTGAGCTTAATTTGGGCTAGCTTTGCTTGGCCCTTCTACTTCTAATAACCAGCGGTGGAGCGAGCGCGCCAATCATCCTAGTGTTCGGACTTTGGACCTGAGGATGGTGCCGAGTGCCGACCACCTCGACTCTTGTAACACCTCGGGTGTTTTAAATACTAAAACCTGCCATGTCATCTTATGCATTGTACATCATTTCGTATTAGTGAAAATTTTGATGTGCATTCACTAAAACAAGTTTACCTTTATGTTGTATGTGTTGAATTGTATTGTTTGAATCAAGTTCAAAGTTTTGTTTGGATTTGAATTTTCAAAAACCCTAATTTCAGCATTTAAGTTTGCCCTGGAAAATCCATTTCAAAATCTAAGCACATTTTGGGGTTGTGCCTAAAAGCAAAAGTGTAGAGCTTGTCGAGTTGTACAAAGTTGGTTTTTGGAGTTTTCAAAGTTGTTTTATAAAATTTGAAGTAATTTGAAAATGTGTAATTCTTTAAATGTCCCCTTTTTGAATTCAAATTTGCATTTCAAAATATAGACCGAATTAGGGGGTGGTTATAAAAGCAAAGTTGTAGAACTTTGAATTTTGAACAACTTTTATTTTTGGAGATTTTTGAGTTGTTACATAAATTTGGGAGTAATTTGGGTTTTAAATCGAGTGACAATTTGGTAATTAGTGGGAACAGTACCATCGGGCAGCTGTCACCGCCGGCGATCTTCCTCTGGCTTCCAGGCGTGTTCGTGGCCGTCTTTGGTGTCCCACTGGCATGGAGAAGGCCGTGGTGTGGCTTCTTCTTGCTTCTGAGCCGTGCTATAAGGTCTACGACGCCGCCGTTTTTCACCGTTCGTCTCCTCTGCTTTTCCAGTCGCCGCCGCCGCTGCTCCGTTGAGCTTTGCCATCGCCGTAGCATCTTCACATCCTCAGCAAAGCTTGCCATAGCTCCGTTGGTTTCTTGCGCACTCAGCAAACCAGTCCTGGTCGCTTGATTTCACCGAGAAACGCCGCTCGTTGCTTTTCTTCCTCGTGGCCGGCAGCACCACCGTCGTGTGCGCTTCACCGTGGTCGTGGCTCTCCGGTGAGCCGCTGCTCTTGCGAAGTCTTGTTTCAGCTTCGCCATGATGCCATGATGCTTATTGCCTTGTTGCTTGATCATTTCATCCACCTCAGTCACCGGAAAACCGCCATCGACGACCGTTGCTCCGCCGTGGCTGCTGTGAACGTTGACCCACTTCCCCGTTGATCCTTCGGCTCGGCCATCGACTCCAGTGTGTTCGTGGTGAGCTCCTGAGTCTTACTATGCCGTTTGTTTAACCGCTACCGGTCCCGTTTCACCGGCATAGCGCAGCCGCACCGCCGTGTCCGCCATGGCCGGTGTCGTGCTCGGTCCTGGCCGTGTTTGGTCTCGTTTGTGCCACCAATCGACGCGTAGGGGTGTAGGGGACGTGGTGGTACCATCGCCATCGCCGTCGCCGTTGATCTCACCGGCATCGAGAAATCGCTGGTCAGCGCGCGTATCACCGTGGTCAGCGTGGGAGGAAGGGGATGACAGGTGGGGTCATGTTGTCAGTGACGCTGTGTTTGAAAATGATTTTTCTATTTTTCAAAAATGGATGAATAGTGATAGTTTTTGTTATTTTTGTATAGAATTAATTAGAGTTCCAAAAATTATGAAAATTTTTGTGTGACCTCTCTGTGATGTATATTATTTAGGAAAAATATGAAATATTGTTTTTCATTACTTTTTAATGTGATAAAAATTGCTTAATTAATTAATAAATGAGTTTTTATGATTTTTCTAGGCTTAATTAATTATCCAAAAATTATGAAAATTGTTTTGCCACTTAGTTATCATGTGATGAACCTTTACAAAAATTTTGAGTTCAATTGGAACAAGTTGATTTATTTCATAATTTTTAATTAAATAATTAATTCATAAAAGCAAATAGTAACGTTTAAGGACTTAGGTTTTTGTTTGAATTTTGGATTGAGTGATGACCTTGGGTTATTAGTTGGTAATGATCCTTGGCAATTGAAATAAGTGTTACGAAAAAGGTTTAGTTAGTTTGACTTGTAACTGTACCGCGAAAGAAAGTTGTATTCAAGTTGTTAATTTTGCATCCATCATCGAGCATCATATTTTGTATCTCGCATCATGTTAAACATGGCATTATTACTACGTGTAGTGAACGAAGGTGAGCACGTGGTAGTTAATCAAGTTGTGGAGGAAGTTAATTCGTCTGTGGAGGTTGGATTTGAGATCGATGGAACGACTCCGGAATCGGACTTTTCCGTCAACCAAGGCAAGCCCCGGATGCATTTAAACCTACCTTGTGTTTTACAAATTTATATGGCTTTTGCTTTTCAGTACTGCATTAAGTAATTAGGAGTTGAGTGAAAACCTAATTGGTGCATTACCAACCTTGTTTTTCCCCATCTACCTTTTACCAGTTTTAATTCGTAATTGCCTAGTTATGCTTAGCTATGCTTAGACAGATAAAAGTCGGGTGATTACCTATCACCTGTGAATTTTAAATGGATCTTTGGTTACGTTTGGTTACTTATGTGATTATGAAATTTGAGCATGTGGAGTAATAAATCTAGACCGGGCGGACTCGGTGTAGGGGAGCCACAAGACATGGAGGTCTTGTGAGCGGGTTCTTTCCGCCTGTGTCGATGAAGAAACCGTCCGTTGTTGAACTGTGTGATGTGAGACTTTGTAGTACTAACCACATACTTTGATAAGCCTTAACTTGTCTATTCTATTACGAGAATGGCTACTCGCGTACTAGGAGTGGAGAGATGGCGGGAATAGCGTGTACCCACGTGGCAATGGGCTGGATTGGTGGAG